TTCTTACATGGTGAACAGTACAAGGGCAGTCATCACAGAAACTTTCGGTTTTGATCACGCATTATGAATTATAAACAATCAGGTCAAATACGAATATTCGTTTGATTTTTATACTTGATTTATATGTGAATTCCACATTTCTCCCTTATTATAATAATTACTATTATTTTTAATAAAATGCTGAAGTGGTAGGTAGATGCAAGATAAAGGTAGAAAACATAGTTTAGTGTTGTAAGAGGGGAAATGTAGATGAACAGGTGTGTGCCTCTAGACTAAGTATTGATCCAAGCTAGACAAGGGCAACAAAACACAGGATGAACTTTTAAAGAGGCAAAACATGGTTAAAATTTCCTTCCCCAAATTCCCTCAGTTAATACAGTCACTTTATTTATGTCACAAATATTCACTGAACATTATTAAGTGTAGGCAGGCAGTATGACAGAGCGTGTGTGATGTTCTAGCTCCAGATGGCTGCTCAACACTTGGCACATATGACCTTGAGCAAGTCACCTAACCTCTCCGTTAAGTCTAATTCTAATCTGTAATCTAATAGAGGCAGCTGAGAAAGTCAAATGACTACATGTGCCAGGACTTTGCAAACAATGAAAGTCTATGGTGGTGATGATGATGACCTATGGCTTCATGTCAATCAGAGATGAATAAAATGATGTGTTTGTCAACAGACTTAATAATTTAGTGGAGAAAATCACATATGCTTTAAAACATGAAGTATAAATACTATAAGTATGTGATAAGTGCTATAAATGATGTATAAAATACAGAGAATGGCCAAAAAAGATGCAACGGAAGAGGAAGCATCTCATCAGAATCCCAAGGATGGACGTCAGTGGGAGCAGACAGCAGCCCACGAATCCATGAGTTAGAGCAGAATATCATCTGCATGGAAGAATTTCACGCACGAGTGCAGGAGTCCTGCAGATTGCTGGGCGTGTGATGTGAGTGGGAATGTGGCTACAAGGTGGGTTAGTTAACGTATAGTTACCAAGTAATGTCCTGATTGAGTGCTAATGCTGGGGGCTCATGAATAAATCAGAGTGCTTTGAATTACCTACAGTGAAGTATCTATTTTCTGAACTTCTAATCCATCATAGACTGACGTGTACAATCAATACGCAGCTCACACTGCAGGCGGTTCATCATGGGAGTTGGCTAACACCTATACTGGTCTATTCCTTGTACAATAAGATGAGTCCATTTAAATGGGTCTACTTAGATATTGTGGTAATAACGGCAAACCACTCCATTTTCTAAAATATGAAGTCTCAATTTACATATCTCAAAGTGAAAAAGTAGCGCAGAGTTGGCTTACCCGCCCAGGTTAGAGGACCAGACTCTGAGCAGCTCTGAACTAGAGCCTCATCCTCGAGGGACTCACAGGTTGGTGGGTGAAACCAGATATGAGAGCTTGAATGCCATGCACAAGAAATTGAGGGGTCTAAGCAAGACAGTGCTTGCTTTAGAGGCTGTGCAATGGAAGCAGGGCTCAGCCAGGACACCACAGTAGCAGTGAGAAGGAAAATGAAGGGACAAAGAGAGAAACGAGTGTGAAAGCAGAACTAATAGGCGCTGGTGGTAGACTAGACACTAGACACAGAGTCAAAAATTTTGTTTCTGCCTAACACCAATGAAGTGGTGTTGCTATCAGCAAAAGTAAGAATCCAGGGCAAAGAACTGGTTGAATCAAGAAGGAAACTGAACTCTGTTTCACATGTATTTGGTTAAGTGCATTGACTGGGGAAACCCCAGCTGTCAGATGAACTGGAATTAGTCCCAAGAAAAGAAATAAGGGTTAGAGAAAGATTAGGACATAATTAACATGGAGACGAAAGGTGAATGAATGAGGGGGCCCTCAGAGTATAAGCAACTGCCAAGGAGAAAGAGAAGTGATGATGAAGAGAAATGTGGGCGACACTCTCCTTTTGGGCCCAGAGGAGGAGGAGGAATTACTAATGATGACACAGAAGAAATAATATCAGACTCAAAGAATATCAAGAAAGAGTAAGATTAAAAGAAAAACGATCATTTTTAATCTGATGCAACATTTCCATCTGAAGGAATAAAAAAATCAATAAAATTAGCTCTTTGCTTACAGAAACTAAGTGAAATGTCCCTTAAACCATTCCATTAGCTTCAATTTAAAATTTTAAGGGAGAATTATAAGCAAATCTGGCCAGATTTTCCCTTCCTCAGCTCAGTGGCCTGAAGAGGAGAAACTATCTACTCACAATCATTCAGCCTTTAGAGTGTCCAAAGCCAATTCTAGTATTTAAATATCTTCTGACTGCATTTAAAAAGACCCAATCAGCCCTAGAAATCTGAAGAATTTATAAATAAGAACAGTTATTTCTAGATCTTATTTATGAATTCATTCAGATTTTTTAAAAATGATATTTTCTTCTATGTCTCAGGTAACTCAGAAATCCTCCCATGCTTATTACCCGAAGTCAATAAAACTATTGTTGTACCAAGCAGGGTGGCTCAATTAAAAGAGCTTAAATTCTTGGATATGGTTTTTTTTAATCCAAGTGACACAGAAGGAAATCATGTTAACAATTTATATCAGAAGTCAACAAGACAAAGTGTCCAGTATTCTCTCCTGTCACATTCTTGGAAGTTCTCAAAGTCAGATAAATTTTTACCATTTGTATTTCCCAAATTAAGAATTCTAAGTCTGCAAATTGCTAACACTTCCCCAGGTGTGACAGGCTTGATTCCTTTAGTCCGAGGAAAGGGAAAGGACCAGAATGATCGGGTTTCCCAGTCCAGATAATATGAATGGAAAAGAGAGAGGAGCAAAAAATGATGCTTCTCTAAACTGATGAGACTGTTTGAAGACCTGGGGTTACAAACAGAGAGGAAAGTGGGTAGTAGAGTAAGGAAAGAGGGGATGTTGTAAAGATGCCAAAAATGACAGCTGAGCAAGCCCCCAGAGTCTGCAATCAGATAATAATCGTATGTAACATTTGCTGGTAGAGAACGTAACTCAATTCTCTCCAAAACCTTATCAATTAGGTTCTGTTATTAACCATAATTTAGAGATGAGAACACAACTGCACAAAGACATTAAATAGTATCTTTCCCAAGATTTAACATGGCTTCTATGTGGTCATTAGCCCCTGGCTAGTGGGAGAGTTAGTTTGGTTGAGAAACATCAAATTGGTCAAGTTAGTATTAAGGCCTAAGTCTGACAGGTTGCTTTACAGGTACTTAATCCCATGACAGGCTCTTACTTTTTTTGAAAAAAGGGGAAATTTAATAGCTTTCTTCTTGTGTCCTAGTTCTTTGTGCATTAGAGACTAACTGAATCTTACAAACTAAGGGATGATTTCTGAGCATATTTGATGTAGCAAGGATGGTGCTAGTGGTTTTCAGTTGGAGTTTAGTGTGATCAGGATTCAAAGTGGAGGTTCCTTGCTTTTGCAAGGGGTGAGAGCAGAGGTTCTAGTCAAACTTGGGGCTAATGAGAGATTATGCATTTTATATTTCTGTAAAGAACAGTAAACTAAGGGCAGAGCCATTTGGATTAAGAGACAGAAAGTTAAAATAAGTTAAATAAATTAATTTAATTTAATGTATACATTATATTAAGTTCGGGAAGCCAAGGAAGGAACAAAAATTTAAGAAAGGAGAAATATTTAATGATGTCAACTGCTTTAAGTCACAGAAAAGGAGGACTAAGAGAAAAATAAAAAATCCACTTTGCTTTCAATGATATGGTTTCATTCATAAACAGCTCTTAACTCAATAGCCCTAGGTATTCCTACAAATTCAACTGGGTTCAAACTTAAAAAACCAGGCAGAACTTTATGTCATATGGTCATTCATCAAAGAGAAATTTCTTAAAACAATTTTCAGGTATGAGCAAACCCTACAGTTAATTAATCATTAGTCTTTCCTCTGGGCAGAAATAGAAAAATGGGTCCTAATTGCAACTAACCAGCCTGTCTGTCTTGGCAAGAGAATGCCACCAAAAAGACTATACCCTCCCCCCAAAATATAAGCCAACCATTCAAATGGGATATATGTCTTAAAACTGGTTACCTTAGATCCACATGCTTAATGTGAGGCATTTTTCTTAAAGCCTGTAGCCTAAGAGTCTCCATACAGTTTCCAGACATACAAAGTTTATCCATAGCAGTCAATTTCTCCAATACCTCTGGAATGTCAGTGAATTCATTGAAAGAAAGACCAAGATAACTAAGCTGATGCATATTCTCCAACTCAGCAGGAAGGCCCTGGAGAAAGTTTCCATCCAACAAAAATGTCTGTAAGCTATTATAAAAAACAGAAGAATTATAAAGAGAATGTGGAAATTTTACATCTTTATTATCATCAACACACAAGTTCCATAGATATAGATCATATTACTAGAAAAAGAAAATGTACTATCCTTTGTGAAATGCATAAGGGCACAGCCCGAGGCAATAATAAACCAGAGAGAAAAGATCAGAGATAAGCATCTTAATTTTTATTGAAAATGAAAATTATGACCAATTTTCCCAACTTACATAGGCCTAAATGGGAACAACATGAGCTAATTGCAGTGTGATTCAGCACAAATACCCATCTTACATTGTTATTTTTAGAAATAAACTTCTAAGTCTTAGAATTCAACATAACTCAGAAAATGAGAAAGTAACCACTCCTCGAATGGTTAGACACACTCATCAACAGGGCTCTTCAGCTGTGAACAAGGATATTTTTTCATTGTTTAAGAACTTACAAATGAACCTGATACAAGAGCCTGATCTCTTGATATGGGGCAAGACTTACTTAACCAACATAACAAGCTAACTAATCTCATGTGCTGAGGCTACAATGTAGCCTTGCAGAGATCTCTGAGGAGTACTGGGCAGTGGGGTTTACCGTACGCACTTGTGCATAACTCCAACGGCTGCTGGGATTGCTCGAAGGGCATTGCAGGACACATTGAGCTCCGTCAGAGTTGGAATATTGCAGACTGCTAATGGGAAGTCCCCTAAATGATTATTGGAAAGGTTAAGACTCTTCAACTTGGTGAACCTATTACAATAAAACAAAAGAAAAGAAAAATGTCACAGATGCAAAACTTGACATAGTTTTAGCATAGTCTTAGAGATAATTTGGCCCAACTCTAATTCAACAGAGGAGGAAACAGAAATCTTAGTGGTAAGGTGAGCAACAGAGCTGGAGTGCACATCTTCGGACTCTAAAGCCAGTGTTTTACCTAAAATATAAACATATTTAAAAACACACAAATGTGTCACTGTAAGGCTGAATATTTGGGGAGGAGGGTTCTGCTGGAGTGAATTTCTTAGTGTATGGCAGAGAACAGGCCTAAGAGAACCTCAGCCAGCCTAATACATGTGTAAATGGTAACAGAGCCGCAGGAAAAGCAGTGGCAGAACTAGCTCTTCTGAATTTCTGTGTTATCCAGACAAGTCCAACACTCTCCTGCTTTACTTCTCTCAAATCCAAACCTGAAATCTTAAAAACTCAATAATTCATCAAAGCCAGGCTCTCTCTGAGGTAACCAAGTTTTATAGCTCCGTATGGAAGAACCAATTACCCATCGCTCCTCAATCAACCTAGCACTTGGCACTGCCAACCACACACCCCTCCGCGAAAAGCTCTTCTCAGGTCGCGGAGATGTTGTCCCCACCCTGCCCTCCCTTGCTCTCTCCAAACCTCTTCTCCGGTGTCTCCTTCTCTTTCCTTCCTCATCTCCTGCCCCCAGCTCAGAGTCAAGCGTCCCTCCTGGATTTGTTCTGGCAGTTTCTCCTCGCTCTACGTTGCCTTCTTCGGAAACCTTTTTCCTGCTCTGTGAACAACTCTCTCTAACCCGTCACTCTAGGCCATGTCCTCTCCCGAAGCTACACTACAGCACATCCAGCCCAAAACTGTATTGACCGCCTTTATCCTAGCCCAGCACTTCCTCCTGCTCTATTTTTGTTAATGACTCTTGCATTTTCTCAATTGTCAAAGCAATTAGAGTAATTAAAGACGTTTCACTTTGCTGTGCACCCCTTACATTTGGGCCTTTGCTGCCCTCTACTTAGATGAGAATCAGGTTAATTATTGCTAATTATTTAAGCTAAATAATTAGCATATTATGCTGATTATTTTAAATGCTGCCCAAGCCTGAATACCAGGCAGTATGCACTATGCCTAGAACACACACCTTAAAAATAAACCCAATTCAATCCAATCTGCATTTTAAAGAAACTGTCATGTGACCTATTCGACGAATTACATAATAAAAATGTTGACTTTTATTCTAAATAACCATGTAAAAGTTTATTCTAAACAGAAAGCTGACTGTGTGCCTATATGACAGGTTGAAAGTATGACCTTGATTTTTTTATATTTGTTTTCTTGGATGGCAGAGTATTAACCTAACAGTGTTAAAAAACAAAACTACTTGAGAATTACTGCTAAACATTAATAATCATTTTTTGACTTCTTTTACATTTCACAATGGGATTCATCAGGCCTTCTTAAAACAGAGAATGCTTATTCTCTACTCTGACTATCTATGATCTATATACACAAGCTAGAATTGCAGGGTCTATTACTTCTAGTCCACTGGGGATCCTGGAAGACGTCTCTGAGATCCCTTCTGGACACTCCCAGGGTCAAAACTATTTTTATAACAATACTCAGATGTCACTTTCCTTTAGCTACTCTCATTTGCTCCCAATTACCCAGTGAAGGTTTCCACACAGTGCCTGTCTTGGTGATAGCACACCTGATCAGGTGCAGAAACACATGAGATTCCTGCTATCTTCTATGAAGCCAAACATTAAAAGATTTACAGAAATAACAATGACACTCTTCTCCCTATTTTTTGTTTTAAAGTAGTTATTTTTCACTAAAAAAAAATGTTGACATGAATGGGTTTATTATTTTTCTAATGAATTAATATATATTAAAACATTTCTCAGTTTAGAACTTTAAGACAGTAAGTATTAATAGATTTAATCCATGAAAATAAAAACTGCTTAGGTCCTCAATTTTTGGGAGGGCAAAGGAGGCTTGAAATAGGGCAACCAGATGAAATACAGGACATCCAGTTAAATTTGAATTTCAGATAAACAACAAATACTTTTTTTAAGGATAAGCCTGGAATATACTTATACCAAAAAAGAATTTAACTATGTGCTTTTTTTCTTCTTCTTCTTCTTCTAAATCTGGCAACTCTATCCTGAAACAGATGAAACGGCTATTCTAGTCCAAACAAAAACAGTAGCCTACTCTCCAGATATGATTCCTCATTTGGTGAAACTGCCATAGTTTTAAAATATGCATGCAATTGAAATGAACTTGAAAAAAAAGTTCCTCTGGGAAGAAAAAGCCCTACTAGAAAAAAAAAAAAACAACCCCAACTCTAACAAGTACCTCCACAAGTTTTATGTGTGTGTCTTTAGTATTTTTAAATGATCACCAACTCTAAATACAAAGAAGTGCAGTAATTCTTTACATCAATTCAATGATAAAAACACTACCAGACCTTGTGTAAAGAGAACTGACCTCAGTCCCAGAGGCCAAGAGCCCCGTACAGACCAAGGAGTCTGGGCTCCCTGCCCTGAGAGCTGCACTACCCAATACCGTACCACTAGCCCAGGTGGCTACTGGGTGCCTGAAGTGGGGACAGGCCAACTTGAAAAGTTCTCCACGTATAAAATACACACCAGATTTCAAAGACTCAGTACAAAAAGAATGTAAACTCATTTTTCAGAACTGATAATTGATATATTGGATCAATAAGATATATTATTAAATTTAATTTCACCTGTTTCTTCTTACTTTTCTAACATGGCTATCAGAAAATGTAAAGTACCTATTTGGCTCTCGTTATATTTCCATCAGAGAAGCAAGCACTCTCTCCATACTAAGAGCAAGGAGATTTCAGGATTCCCTAACCCAAATGACACCAAACTTACTTTCAGGACCGAGGTGGGCCTCTTCCCTGGGCCCATCCTCCCAGCGTATGTGAACCCACAGGCCCTGGCAGTGACAGAACCTGGATGTCTGGGCTGCTTGGGTGAGGGACGGAGTGGAGATGGGAAGAGATTTGGGTCACTGGGCCTGCTCTCCTCAGGCTGCTATCACCAGAATCCCACGGGGTCTGAGGACTCTAAATTTGGATCTATGCCTGCAGGTTATTAAAAAAGTGTATCTGTCAAGGTAGGAGGAAAGATGTATTTTATTTAACAGTTTGTTAGCTTGATTATAAAAAATGTTTAGATATGTGGTATGGAGTCTTCATCTACACTCTTGCCCTAGACCTGTAAAACAGAAGGACTGATTCTCATGTATAAGCATCTGAAATTCCTCTCTCCTCCCCACTGCATTCCCTGCATCCCTCATATTCCTCCCTGTTCTGCCCATCCCCCAAGTTCTTTCCAGAAGAGAACACAGAGTTCAACAGACTTGTTTAGCAAACAAAGCATGGATTGTTTCTGAGAACTCAAGTTCTTGATCAGAACACATTAAAATTCATCTGTTTTGGAAACTCTAACCCTTAGCCTTCTTAGAGTTCCACTTTTTCTTTATGGATGTGGAAAGCAGTCAGATTACAGATACCTGCTAATTCACAAACCCCCTCAGAGAAAGATAACAGTGAAAGTCCATCTAGAATCCACTTTCCTCTGGTCTTAAAATGGGAGAAAGAGATAACTGGAGGCAAAGTTTAAGAGAAAGATAAGAGATCAAAATGGAGGGTGGATGACCTTTCCTCCCATGACCTTCATTCTAAAGAGTGCAGAATGGGGAGCAAGGTGACAGCATACTGTTAGGAAAGAAAAGACTAGAAATCTGTCTCCTACGAAATAAAAGATGCTAACAGATGGGACAAATTAAGTTATCAAATGTGCATACAGACTCAGATTCTAAAATAAAACTGTTTTGGAAGAATATATATTTGATGAAATATTTGAAATAATTTTACTTTAGGTTAACATTGCCATTCTTAAATGTTAAAAGGAAGTCATATTATATTTACTCAGGTTACAAATATTTCCTCATAACTGTTCAATATAGCTAAGTAGAGGAGAATTAGAGCATCACAAAATTTAAAATAAATAAAAATCATTTTAATGACAATTGTGATAACAACAGTAGTCAGTTTAACAATAAGGGATGACTCTTTTGATGCTTTAGAAACTAGAAGGACAAGGAACTCTGTTTTTTTAAAAACATCTATTATACATGTATATACATTTACAGTGCCAAGGCTACAGAAAGTTAAAGTGGATACATCTTCCTTTTTTCTCAGGGTTATTAAGTGAGAACCAAAGGGGCTTTGAAGTCACTTTCTTTTGTTTCCCAATATCATAGAAAAAGAAAACAGGCTCTAGAAATTGTGTGACTGCAACATGTAACTTGAATCTACTGCCATTCAACATCAGTGTTACTTCTCATCCCTCCGGCTCTTCTTTTACTACATCTTATTAAGAGTGTCATATAGATATCAATTACTAATAATTCTAGGTCAAAGAATGGCCTCCAAGTACAGTAAGGAAGGCATTCCTTTTTTACCCTTAGAGGTAGCAGAGCATTCAGTAGAGGACAATAGGTATTCTGAACACTGTGTATTTACATTCAAAGCAATTCAGGCACAGCCCAGTGTTCCCAAACTATACAAAACCTGAAAAGAATGACTTCGCTTTCCAGAGCAAGCAATATGCTTTGAGGAAAGAGACATAATTCATGTCTGTTTGTTTTATAAAAGAGCTCTGAGTAGGGAAAAGAAATCAACACTTATGCAGGGTCTAATAAAAAGTAATCTTAGTTAATTTACATGGTAGAGTGTTAGAGTATTAACATTTAAGTTAACCTCAAGTTCCAAGGCACATTTCTGTTTTTTAATACCGAGTGTCACAGAAAAGTATAACCAACTAAACATACTTGATAATCTACAGAGATAGAAAACTCTAATTGTAGTGTGTTCACAAACAAGCCTTAAAGTCTCTTTCAAACTAGGCATCCTAAGGGCCATGTAACAAACTGCATGATTGTTTAAAAAGGGTGGGGGGGCCTTG